ATTACTATCATAAAACTTTCAACTTGATAATAATAAACAACAACCTCTGGTTAAATCCTAAAACTCACATTGAGCTTAAAATTGGATTAGAATCAGTTATAAAAATTATAGATACTAATCTATAAGTAGAGTTAATTGTTAAACTGATTATACTACTATAGAATACTTATTGGCTATATGAAAGTTACACCCAAAATACTAAATAAAGTTAACAGAGTAACATTAATCATAATCTTATAGTAAGCACTGTAAAGAAATTGAGCTCTATATTCCTTTTTACCAGTTCTTCTAATTGTCTGAAAATTCTTTTGTTAACATAACAAGTATCAATGATATCTAATGTGAAATCAGAAGTAGCAAATGGGCGTTTCTTTAGTGAGTTTAGCTACTCCCCTATGTGGGAACTTCCCTTTTATTTATTTCTGACTGGACATCAATTTCTTCCTACTGTGAGAACTGTTAGCAGAGAACATCCACAACCCAACCCGTAGTGAAACCAAGGACCTTTGGTCTAACTTTTAATCACTGAAACTGCGTTTTAGTGGTTTACATTTCTAAATTCAGCCATTTCGAGATACTGTACAACTATCTCCCAATGTTTACTGTGAATAATAACCTCTAAACTACCATAGCTGAACAACGTTAGATTAAGCTCGGTAATCAGGAGGTCAAGACCTCTCCATGATGCCGAAGGTTCTGAGTTCCATCCTTCGTGGGATCGTGAGTGCCCATTTCTGAGGAAACCTATAATCCAACGAAACCTCTATCAGTGTTTGTTGGAAATTAGCGGTGTTCTAGAAAAACAGTTCGTGATGTAAGCTATTACCTTAACTGATATGTTTTTTAGCATGAAAAGAGAATGATTTTAATTTTTTCAACAAAATTGGTTCATATAATTTTAGTGATCAAATAATCGATATATTGAGGATTATTTACCCATTTTTTGTTAACTTTCTAGGACATACAAAATTTTATTGTGGTGCTATATCAGAATATGTTATAGAATAACATCTGTATTGATCTCTGTTTACAATGCTTGTGACCTAAGGTAATATCGAGGCAATCCGCACAGGATCCACATATGCCAATACGAGACTGATCAATTGCAGTCTTAAACATCAATGGGTATTATCAAATAACCAATATCAAAATGAGTTGTATTGATTGTTGTATATGAATGAAATATGTGAGAACAATTAGTAAAACTAACAAGTATCATTAAAACAAATGAGGAAACTTAAACTTATCAAAAGAAAAACTTGAAGTACAATATAACATGTGTCTTACAAACTACTCAGAGATAGTAACACTATTGTATATTTATTTCCATGTGTCATCGTTCTTTTGTCTGAGTTTCCAGATTGTTATCATTTGAGTACATGTGTGTAATCTAAAGGTCACGTTTATTTTAACATGAGACAATTCTGTGATACCTAATAGGAGCCAGTGGCGATCCTGCTGTAACCTTCTTTTACTTTCTTCATAAAGAGTGGTTCTAACTTTCTTAACTGAAAGAGATCTTCTGGTTGTATATTTCAGTTACCCCCATCATTATTCTTATTATTACACTAACATACGCTAATCTGTGGTTGTTATTGTACTTTTCTTTTTTTGCTTATATACATCTTACCCCTTTTCCTCTTCCCATTCTCATTGGCGCACATATCAACAGTAAAATGTTTATAGGATAATTTATTCATATTTTTGAAAATAATCAAGAAAATAATAGAGAAGATAATAAGTAATTGTTATGACTTTAAGCCTAATTAATTATTACGTGATTTATTCGCCAATCGAAGTATCACTTATTCAATCTTAGTACTGTGCTAAACCGATATGAACAACTTAGAGTCTTTATTGGTCCTTTGTTCTCCTAGTTCTTCCATTTGAGTCTAGAACACCATTAACAGCTCCTACTATGCCAATTATTTATTTCGAACATACTTAGTTTATATACTAGACAGACAGACAACATCACACTATAAAATAGAAAATAATATTTGTAGAAGATCAAGCCAAATGTGGCTGTGAACGTGGGAGACGATAATTAATAAACTGAATATAATTTAGGAACAGCAAATCATATAGTAATAATCTATAGATCCAATAAAGCTTGTAATGAATATAGATACATACAATCTAACCACTGAATAGTTATACAATAGGAATATACATAGAATAATAATCAATTAATAGATCGCGGAAGTTACCTGTACTTATGTCTTCACTAGGATGTGGCAGTAATGACTACTAATAACTTGAACATTGGATGTGAATAAATGTAAACCATGAAGTATTTAAATTATAATCATTTTGCTTAGATTACAATGAATAAATCAATATAAATCGAATGATTAGATAATCACATAAAAATTAGTATCAGAAAGGAAACGAAGATTAACCAAAAAGAATCAGTGACATTTATTAATCTCCACGACGCCTTTATACTAATGAAAATTATGCGTTCAATAGAGACTAACTTTGACAAGGCAATTCCGGGATCTCAGTGAGAAGCTGTAATTAGTGGATTTTGACCATGTTAAGTGTGAGGCAGTTATCTACTAAAGACAATCGATAATAGTTGCATAATGTCATGAATTGATAGGGTTTAAGTATATATACCACTGAATGGTGGCTTAGTGGCCATGAGTTTACACATTCTTCTCTAAAGCAAAAGTCTTGGGTTTTATCCCCATAGCATTTCAGATGTGCACTTCTACAGAGTATCGCACTAAGACGAAATGACTGTTCAATGTTTCCTGTTTTTTTAACGGTTGTCTAACTTAGGTCGGCTCATGATATATGTAACACTCAATAAACCTTGAGAATACCCTGTTGAATTGATAATCAACACAACAGCTATGGCTGACCAATTATTTAATACTCTTAAAAACATATTAACAAAGAAAATAAGATCAGGGACTATTAATAAAATTAGTCAATGTGATCAATAGAGATATGACCAGTTTAATTAATTTATGGTTATAACGTAACATAATCGACATATTTCATTATGGAATATATGGTTAAGTAGATAAATTTAAGAGTGAAGAATTCAATGAACATATTGATGTGGGTTTGTTCTCTGAGCTGGATGGTTTGGTCTTAGAGCTTTCATCGTCCATCTGAACGACATCATCAGTACAAACGTCGGGTAGAAGTGAAGTGTTTGAATTTCTCCACATGTGATTTACAGGTCAATAAGAACCAATCAACATCGAGGTGTACAGGACAAGCTGTAAATCACATGTGAATAAATTTAAACACTTCACTTCTACCCGACGTTTGTACTGATGATGTCGTTCAGATGGACGATGAACGCTCCACGACCAAACCATTCAGCTTAAAGAACAAATCTATATCAAAATCATCCACCTGAGCTACAAATTCTCTCTATCATCTCAATGAAGATATAAATTTATAAGAAAATAAAATTTGTTTTACTTATACAGAGATATCTTTTAATACTAAGGTAAATAATCTTTCAGTGAATAATTTATTATTAATAAGCAGATTAAATAAACAGTGGATATTAAATTAATAACATTTAGAAACTATGAAAGATCTACATTTCAACATAAAAGACCTTTGAATTCACTTGATATTGTTTGTTTGAAACTTCCCATTGATGTTTAGGATTGCAATTGCTCAGTGTCTTATTGGCATATGTGCATCCTGTGTGGATTGCCTCGATATAGCCTTAATTCACAAGCATTATAAGCTAAGATGGACAGTGGCTAGCAGTGGAATCCAGGACAAAGTGCGTTCCGTTCTATTTAGGAATCGTCAGTTGGACGTACCTGCATCTCAGGGTTGATGTTCACTCTGGGATTCCAACCTAGTACCTTTCGCTTCAAACGCCATCACGTTATCCACTCAGATACTTAGTCCTGATAGGACGAAACGCAGGTTCTAGATTTCACTACTAGCCATTGTCCATCTTTCTTATAATAAAAGACGTTTTTCTAAAATAATGGTTGATACACATAAATCCGTATGCATTCTACTATAAAAATGATTATTGAAACAAAAATAGATATTGGTATCAATACTACGTTATGATTTGATAATATTGAATAAATTGAGCATTGGGTAGATTGTTATAAATAAAGAATAATAAATTTGTAATATCCCAATGAGTAGAAAAATTAGATTTTCTGACGTTTCGTGACTCAGTGTAGGGCACTTCTTCAGAGGAAATAAATAACCAAATTAAAATTAATCGAAGTTAAAATAGTAAAACGGAACAATGCGAATACTATTTATTTATTTATTCTTATAAATTTATTAAATTTTGATCTGTAAATTATTGAATTACTCTCCAGGCCGGTTAAACTCAAAAAGTTACTCATTGTAATACTATGTGACATAGTTTAAAATACTACACGTAGAAGCCATACATTGAAGATCAAAGATATGGTTTGATAATGAATGCTAACAACCATGAAATCTTAATCTTGTTCTGTTGATGAAACCTTCCAGCTCAGAGAACAATACATTAGGAAAAGCTTCGCATCTAAGTTGTACATTTTCTTTATTATTCCAGATTGTATTACTATTCGGTAGTTTTTAACCATCAAAATACTATTATTATATCTATCAGTCACATTCAACTTAGTATTGTTTGTTTGAATATTCCCATCGATTTGTTAGGACTGCAACTGGTCAGTCTCTAATTGGCATATGTGCATACTGTGCGTATTGCCGAGTGGATAACGCGATGGCGTTTGAAGCGAGGGTACTGGGTTGGAGTCTCAGAGTGAACATCAACTCTGAGATGCAGGTACATCCAGCTGACGAGTCCCAAATAGGACGAAACGCGCGTCCTGGATTCCACTGCTAGCCACTATCCATCTCTGCTTATCAGTCACATTGTTTAAAGAATATAAATTTGTAACATAGAAAAAAAGAAAGGCTTCAATTCATTAGAATCTGTTTTCTTTCGAAACAATAATTAACAAGCATTAAAAGTTGTGTAACATAATGATATTGTTACTTACCACTCATATGAAATTGTTCTATATAATGTGGTTTACAAAATATCACTCCATCTAATGATGCAAAATTGCCAACTCTAAATGAACAAATATAAATTAAAAAAATGAAAACTATAAAAAGTAGGCGGATTTTGCAATTAATGAACTGAATTAAGTTCATCAAGAAAACATTTTGCAAAAGTGAAATAATCTTCATAAGTAGTAAAGTGAATCATGTACTCGCAAATAAATGACCTATAGGTAAACTCCTGAAGTTTGTGACAGATTAATCACTGTATAGTGATTAATGTCATGTGTGTCAGGTTCTTCTTAGTGCATATCGCATTCCATCGACCAAGTTTCCATGTGGCTATTAGTCTAGGTGACTCGATATCATATGCACTATGTTGAGATTAGATGGTATGTATCAAGAAGGACCTGACACGTATGACATTGGTTACCATCCAGTGATCAAACATTTTTAAATGCACCTCAGTTCTACAAGAGGTCAGTTGCAACCTGGATAGCTCACTGTTAACATCTCTGATTGTGGAGCTAGATGACATTGGATCAAACCCCTTAGAAATCGTCGGGTCTCACAAGAATACAGGTACATTTTACTGACACGTGCCAAACAGAACGAAACCTAGGTCTAGGCATTTTTGTCGACAACCTCCAACCACCCTACCAAACTCCTGAAGTTTTTGTTCGAGGCTATAATCTTTATATTTGATGAAATGAAAGACAATACGTTTACAGACGAATAGTAATTATTGTCAGTGATAATGTATTACGAACTCAGAAAAATGGGAACTGCTGATCACTTGGAATTAAGCCGTTTGGACAAACAGGGTAGTTATTAAGCTAAAGCCTACTACGTATACTAAATTTGACGAGTCTTTACTCAGAAGAAAACAGTAGGCGTCTTGAATTATTGAGATAAATATCAGAGTATTAAAATTAGTCACAACATCAGTGGTAGTTGAGAACATTGGCCACTAAAACGAAAGAATGAAATAATGGAATAAAAAGGTGTAGGAAAAATTTTTAAATTCAATATCTAATAGAAGAAAAATTGTCAATCTTCCTGCTTTGTTGAAACTGATTCTAAGTATTTTTACTCAACGTTTTCAAGCATTGATCACCGCTATCACACAAACTCTAAATAAATAGTCTGAGACTGTTAACATAGCTGAGATCAACAGTGAACGATTCCATAGACTGATGTTACGTCTTGATTTGGCTGTTTCTATAACTGAAATTACTTTCATTCAATACAATTAGGCATCGAGTTACGCTGTGATAAAGCACACGTAATACATATAATTACATGTAAATAACTTGAAGTTCTTTATATGAGCTAAATCTGAGTTTTCAAACGAGTCAACTGTGATTAATTGTCGTTTCTCTTAGTTTAGTTATATAACTAACAAAGCCGCATTTTTTGAATTACAATGCATTTAATCAAAATACAATTTAAGTGTAATCAGGAGACCTTTGTTCAACGCAATGAAATTAGTGACAAAACAGGTCATAATTTTCCTAAAATACTTTAGCAAATAATTCAGTAAGAGCTGAATAGCTAGAAACTGTTCAACTGTCAACCAAAAGATCACTTTATTTCTAATTCTCCTGAAAAGATGAAAGAATATCATCCTTTAAGAAATAATATAAATGAGATGATAGAAAAGTATAGCCTATAAGGAAAATGGAATCAGTCGAAGTACAAACTTGTCTTCTAGCTCTATCGACAAGCTGTTGAATAATTGTTTTCACTTAGATACAATACAAGGTCGAATATAACAAAAATGAATGTACAGAATGTTAAATCATTGGTGTTTAACAACAATAAATATTATAACGTTACGAAAAAAATAATTATTGAATCAATAAGGGATAGGTTAGGATAGTTATCTCTACCTAAAGTTTATACTGACTGTAAATGAGAAAAACAATGTTAACTAAAAAAAGACTAAGTCGTTCAACTTAAAGAGAGAAGTATCATTAATCGACATAAGCTAAATACTTGAAATCATGAGTCAGTTGAAGCTAGACAAAACCTGCAAGCACTGGACGGTCAACACGTCCTATTGTGGGATTCCTTAGCAGTGCGAATCCATGATCCCAACTCGCGAGATTCAAACCAAGGGCCTACCAGTCTCGCGTGCGAGCGCTTAACCTCTTGACCACTAAGCCGGGCGGCATCCGACGGTGTTAATGTCTAACTTCAACCAATCCATGAAATTGAGCAACCATTCAGCTATTTTTTCAGTTAGTTGATATTTTCCAACAGACGTGGTTGAACTCCACTGGTTACTGCTTCTCACTTGAACTCCATGAAATACCTCATGGAGCCAGTCACTAGTGAGCATATAATCAGTGATTCTAGGTTTTCCATGGTGGTCTAGCTTCAAATGACTCATGATTTCAACTATGTAAAATAACTAAAATCTCCACAAAACCCCCTTTCTCATAATTCAAATTTCTTTGAAAAATCTAAACCTTAACTATAAAGGGTTTCGAAATGTTTATGTTTACCTTAACAACTGTATTGTATTATTTTTCCATTTAAGACAATATGATTATAATCTATTTTAGGCTGAATTTTTAATGAATAAAATGAAATGTCCTAAATTCATTCATTTATTTATTCAATTTTAAAACAGGAGTATTTTATCAGATTTCATAGATCATAATGTTTGGATAGATAGTTTTATATCATACTACTTTTATTAGTTATTAGTAATGAAACCTCTAGTGAATGTTACACTTTAATTGGGACTTGAGTTAGAGATAATCAGTTTAGGGTGATGTGGATTTTCATATTGAGTGTAGAAATCAAACACTGATCACTACAAGTGTCAACGCTACATACACTTGAAGTGAACAGAAAACTAGTTAGGGACAATCGAATGTATTTAAGCACAAATTACAGACTATCTAACTAAATTCTGTTAACCATACCAACAAACAGTTAATTTACAAATTAACTACCATTTGTCTCAATCTCCACTGTTCCTTCTGTAAATACCAATCCATCTTCTTTAATTCCATTGTTCATGCACTTTCCTACCAATTGTGCTCCATTTCAGTTCTTTCCTTATCGATCTTCTGCCGAAATACATTCTATGTCTGACCATTGTCATATACTACTTATATGGATATAAATAGACCACAATACACATTAAATTAGTGTCACAAAATCAGCCAACAAATTTTCTAAGTTGAATCATCATAGTACAATGTTGAAAAAGCTTTTAACAACTTGTAGATCCAAATCATCTGCTCTTAGGGCCTCTATAATAACAAAGACTGAAATAATTCAATGAAAAGGAGAACGACAATGGTAATGATCATAAGTCAATTTGTTTGTCTCCTATGAACTGACATAATTTTAGATGATCCATTAAAATGGTAAATATAATAGCTGGAAAAACATTTCAACAGATGTGACCACAAAATTAAATACTAAGACATTAATAAAAGGTCAAATAGACAAATTAGAAGACTAGGAAGATCAAAGATGATAGAGAAAACAGTAGCAATCATCAATATTATGATGATCCATTCAAAGAGAGATCTTGTTAAAAACAAAGAGACACTTAAATAAACCTTCGTATTCGCTCCTGAGACACTTTCATACAGCACCAGGAAGTTTGGTAAAATATCAACCTTGCAGCATGTTTCAATAATAAAGAATCATCAAAAAATTACTGTGCAGTACAATTCATTTACTATTGTTTGTTTGAATCTTCCCATCGATGTGTTAGGACTGCAACTGGTCAGTCTCTTATTGACATATGTGCATACTGTGCGTATTGCCTCGATATAGCCTTAATTCACAAGCACGGTAAACAAAGATGGATAGTGGCTAGCAGTGGAATCCAGGAAGCGCGTTTCGTCCTATTTGGGACTCGTCATCTGGATGTACCTGCATCTCAGAGTTGATGTTCACTCTGGGACTCGAACTTGGTACCTTTCGCTTCAAATGCCATCGCGTTATCCACTCACCCACTGAGTCTTGATAGCCGTAGGATGAAACGCACGTCCTGGATTCCACTGCTAGCCGCTATCTATCTCTGCTTACTGTGTAGTACAATGTTTAAAAAATATTTTAACTACAGGTTTATTATGATTTTCATATACAAAACAATGTTTAAAGTGTTTGCATAAAATTTTTTGGAAACTTGAAACAAACAAATACAATGATCTGAATGAAAATAAGATTATAAATCGATGTGATGATGATAACTATTGAATAGTTGCTGAGAAAACATACTTGAGTAAATAGTAAGTTTAAGTACTTTACTGAAGTAGTTCTAATCTTCAAGTACATATTCTTGATCAAACAAATTAATCAATTTATTTGTCTTTTAATAAAAAAAATGAATAAAGTTTATACAACTGGGTAATTTACATTGATTATTATATGTATGCATTAAAATGAATAGGTAAATTAAATTTAAAAATTATCGAAAGTAAACTTCATCAGATCATCATCAGATCAGATAAGTTAAAAGCTAAGTAACACTTTCTCAACTATCTAATAATAGAATTTGTTGAGATTTATGTATTCTGTATGGATTACTTGAATGTCAATCATTTCGTTACAAGTTTTATAGAACTGATGAGTTGCAATTAGCAATGGGATTTCACAACGCAGGTTAACTAGATGTATTTGTGTCCAAGTGGTGATATTCATATTGAGACTTTAATCTACTACTTTCCTTATCAAACTTTAAATCATTATCCACCGAGCTGTTAAGTCCATATTAACACTAACGTATTTAACAAATATGTGAATATCAACACTAAGATGCAGTCACAGAAAGGTAATGGGTCCCAAACAAGAAAAAACGCGGATCTTGTAATTCATTACTAACAACCAGCTATATGTTCTATATTAACTGACAAATATTAGAAGAAAAAAGAACAGTCAATAGCTTTCAGTCATTCAATATCAAACAAAACGCATACTGTACAACGAAGAGTCTCTCAATCCGATGATAGTTATGAGGATTGATTAAAATCAAAGATTAAACAACATGATGTCGGCTACTCTTAAATGATCAACTGATAAACCGTGCTCCTATTCAAC